TAGTTCCAATATCATGCCTTTTTGTTAGTATAGCTTTGTAGAATAGTTTAAGGTGTGGTATTGGGATTTCTCCTGCTTCACTCTTCTTGCTAAAGATTGCTTTGGCTATTCTGGATCTTTCATTTTTCCAAATAAATTTCATGATTGCTTTTTATATTTCTATGAAGAATGTCATTGGGATTTTAATAGGAATTGCATTAAATCTGTATAATGCATTCGGGAGTATGGCCATTTTGACAATATTAATTAATATACATATTATTTGAAATATTCATATAGTTCTGTTGCTTATATGCCTGGGTGTGGTATTGGTGATATAAAAATGCAAGTATAATTGAGATTTATTTATGGGATCTAAATTACTTAGATGTATTTTACTTACTTTTAAAAATCTAGAGGGTTTTTAGTTAATTTTTTAAAATTTTTTTTAGTTAATTTTTTCTTTAATTTTTTTCTGATTTAATTCCAATATGACTGGAAAATATATTCTTTAGATTCAAGTCATTTCTGGGCAGTTTTATGGCATACCCAAATATATCAGGTTCTTCAAATATGAATATTATATTCCATCATTGTCTGTTATCTATAAAAGTTTTTAAAAACTTTGCATTATGACTATAGACCTCTGCATTTACATTTTTTATATTTATGTAAAATTTTATTAATTGGTCTATTGTATATTGAATGACTTCTAAATGAAGAAATATTCTTTTCATTCATATATAGTTTTGTCTACTCTCTCTGACAATAATATATCTAAAACAGCTTATTTATTTATTTTGTGTTAGTGATGATTGAACTCAGGGGCCATCCACTACTCTAATCCTTCTCATATTTTACTTTGAGATAGGATCTCTTTAAGTTGCTGAGGCTTGCCTTGAGCTCACAATCATGTCTCTGCTTCAGAAATTGCTGAGTTACAGGCTCGCACCACCATACCCAGCTGCAACACCTTGATTCACACTAAAAATCTTTTATCTCTTTTCTCATAGAATTTCTATGCAATTAAGTTAAACATATCTCAGAAAAGAGTATATGATGGGTTTTTAAAATTCAATTTGATTATCTTTTAATGATATAGTTAATATTACAATAGATATTGATATATTACTATATAAATCTACCAACTGATTTCATATTTTCTTTACCACTTTTCCTAATTGCATTATGATTTTTTATTCCTTCTTATCTAATTTTAAAGTATTTTAGCATTCAAAATTGTAACAATTTTTTTTTTTTGGTAACCCATTGTCAGTGTATTCTGATAGGTGATGACCTCTATAAATAATGAGTATTGGGAGTCATGATCAATGCTGACTTGATGGTAGAAATCTAAGCACTACACATTTTACAGAACAATTTTTGTTGTATCAAGAGAAAATTTGATTATAAAAGATATTTTATAAAAATTAAAATTATTTGCTTTTCAAAGTACACCATTATAAAAATGATGAACTCATCCATTCAGAATAGAAGAAAACACATACAAATCAAATATCTCAATATAAATGTGTCTCCATAATAAAAACTACTGAAAGTTCAATATTAAGACAAGTAACMTAATTAACAAAGGATTTAAAGACTTGGGTAATTATTTATAAGGAGAATCAACATGACTATCTAGTATGCATGTGAACAACAATTCATCATTTTAAACAACCTGTGGAGTGCAAATCAAGGTCACAATTGGTTGCCATTTCATAACCACTAGGATTAGCATTATAAAAAGAAGATAGACAATAGCAAATTTTAGCAGTGATGTGGAAAAGTTAGACCTCTCCTATACTAGGAATGTAAAATCTTGCCAATAATTTGGCAAACTGAATGAAATATAATTAATAACATGAAGTTCTCATGTCAGGGAGTGATTCCACTCTTGGGCATTACACAAAAGAAATGAAAAAAAAAAAAACCTTTTTCCACACAAAACAAGCCATGTTCAAATATTTCGAAATTAGAAAATAAGCCCAAATGTCCATAATGTTAGGGGTTAAATAATATGTGTTATATGCATCCACACCAAAGAATACTATTCAGCAATAAGTAGAAATCACATAGTGCTACTTGTTTAAACATGGACAAAACAACAACAGCAACAACAACAACAACAAAAAACCACTATAGTAAGTGAAACAACCCAGTTGGTGCTGACTACCATTGTATGTCTCTTTCTATTTGTATGAAATGTGCATCTAAGGCTAAATTTGGAGACTGAATATATAATTAGTTGTGGCAAAGAACTGGAGTTTAAGAGACATTTACCTGAAATATATATGAGATTTCTTTTTGGCACAACAGAAATGTTATAAAATTATTTCTTGAAGAAGAATTCTGAACTATGTGAACATAACCCAAATTATTTGACTTTTACAGCTCAAACAAGAAATTTATGGTACATAAATTATATATAATAGAATCTGTTAAAGTAAAAATCAATTTTGGAGAAATTTATATTTTCAGTAGAGG